AAAAAATCTCCTTGAAGACATTTACTTCTATAATCCAAACAAAACTTTTAATTTTGTTCAAATTCCATGAGAAGGCAATTGAATAACTTCATCAATATAAAAGGAATATTGCCCCAAACTATTTAGGGCCCTACAGATCAAAACCCTTTCTCTTATGAAGGGTTAAATAAAAAAAAAGTAATAAATTTTTTAAAGGAAAAGCATTACAATCTAATATTTATTATAAACATCCACTTTTGTTTGGAATCATTTGAAAATGATTCGATCTAAATTGTGATTACTCCGATTTCTTTCATGAATTTTTGAAATTAGTTCAATATTTTTATGTTTAATGATCGAGTTTTCGAATTTATATGTTATAACATTTATTGTTCTTATATTTTTTATTTATAGAAATCAATGGAACAAAGGTTATAATTAATTACTTCCATATAAATAAAATTATGAGGAACATATATAATGGAAGAGATCTTCATAATTCAAACTTATTCGTACAATATTTAATGGAAAATATCTTCATAATTCAAACTTTATTCGAACAATATCTAATTACTTATTAGGCAATATTGCTTTAAAAAAGGTTTGTTCTTCAAAAATCAAACTCAAATGAGGAAGCCATCCACGCAGAGCCATTGACCAACAAAGATATCGTCACAGTTAATGTTTGGATTGATCGCCTTAAAGAAATCTAAAGTCACATTGAAGGCTTGAGAAATGCTAAAGCAAGTGTCACCGTCCTTTGCACCAAACACCTTCGCACAAACTGGGGTCGATGATTTTTTTCCCATTTCAAACCCAACTGCATAAAAATGAGACAATCATAATGCTAAAATGTTAGTGTTCATAGTTCAATTTTTGAAGATCTTAAATATAAAACAAAAAAAAAAGGCTAGAATGTTGCTTGAATTGAATCTAATTAATCCGCGTACTGCCAAAGAATCTGCTTTCTGCCATGTTGAAGATGAGAAGAAGAGAGAGCAATAGGGTTAAGTTAACCAATATTGCTGCTGCCTTGCTGTTAGAGTTGGCCATAGCTTTATTTTCTCCTTTGACTCACAATTGGACCTCTCTAATTATATTTGTGTGATTGGAATGATTAACATTTTAAGCACATACATACTTATAGGGAAGACCATCCAGCAAGAAAACAAATTATAAGATTAGAAGTGATAATTTTTAATAGTAATTTTTTCACTACAAGAAGCCAAGGCCGTCCTCTTGTGTTTTGGGATTCTACTATGTTAATCTAATTTTGTGAAAAACATGGCGAGTCATACAACTTAAAGTATAAGACAAATTATTGGAATGTTATCACAGGGCAGGCCTAAGTATGATCTGCTGCAGGCCACGGCTAATTAGAGGAATATATTTGGCCGAATTTAAGCAGGTTTTAATTTGTTAATTTGATTGAGTTTGTTTATATAATTTTTGATCGGGTGATTGAAAACCTCGCTGAAAACTAAGATGCAGAATGTATTAAATCTATCACAAAAGAAAAAATAAAAAAACAAACAAACATGGAATGTCAGAGGTAAAACCTCGATTCCAAGTTAAATTTATTTAAAGTACTATTAAAAAAGCATTGGGGTTTGTCCGAAATTTCAAGTAATAAAATTGAAAAAATTTCAGTAAAAAAGATGTTCTTATTCTAATTAATTTGGAGGAAAAAAGTCTAATTAATTTAATTAATTACTAGCCACTGAGTTTTGATGATGAAATAGCATGCAACAAAAAAGAACCCCTAAATCAGAAAAGATAGATGAAATATATTTTATGAATAATAATTATTTCAATGGAACTAAAATTTTGGAAAATTAACTAAAAATTTAAATTATTACACGAATTTTGTTAATTAATGCTTTGACCTAATATATAAAAAAATCAAATGAAATCCAACTAAAAGTGTTTGGCAGTCTTCAACAATTGATCGAAAATCTCAAAATTGCACGAAATCATGATTGGTCCATTAATCTTGGTATCAAAATGATCTTGATCTGGGATTGCATTAACAGTTCCTTAAACGTTGTAAGCGAAAGATACTTGATCGGAACTTCGTACTCTTAGCCTCTTGGCCCACATACAGACTACATAACCCTTTCGAGTTTTTAGGGTTTTGCCAACCTCAGTCTCCACCTTCTTGTAAGACTCTGTTGAGGACCTGCTTCGCCCCATCTTTTTAATAAACCAACTGAATTTCATGTAGATCTAAACCAAGATTTATTTTTCTTGGTGTTTTTTTGAAGTATTGAAAGCTTAATGGGATTGGAAAGAAGTAAATAGCAACGAATTGAGGTGTGGGTATTTATATATAATTTAGTGACGGTTGCAAGTCCTTTCCTTCCTTGGATTTGAACCTAAGCCGACTTCAACTTTCATTAGAGACATATTTGCAATGAATGAAATGCCTCAACTGAAATTTTATTTGTAAAAGGAGTAAATTGTTAATTTCTATGCTTTTCCCTAACATTGATTTTAAGTTAGAGAATAACAAATCATTCTTAACTCAACGATTATTATCCCTCCCTGATCTAGTAGGGTTTTTAAAAAGAAATCAAAATTTAAAAATTGTACAAGAAGAAATAAGTACTAAGTTAATGATAATTTCAATTTGATTAATTTGAATTTCAAGCTTTTGATGTCAAGAATTAAAATAAAAATTCACCATTTTAGCCATTTTTTAAATGAAATCAAGCATAGTAAAAAATAAAATCAATGGAAGCATCACTTATCTAAAAGAATAATTGATCGAGATTTATTAGACCTCCTTTTTAAAAGCTAAGCATGAGCTCGACCCAATTTGTCTATTAATAATATATCATTTATATTGCTGTTTTTAAATATATTTTAATTTTAAAATTAAATAAATTATATATTATTCATTAATAAAATAATATAATTAAACCAGACCAAACTGGACTCAAACATAAAATTCTATGCCTAAATTCAATCAAATTGGGTTGAGCCCGCAAGCCTGAGTAATATTGAACACTTCTCATAAATCCAAATTAAGAAGATGAAAAGGAAAAAAAACAAGAGTACTTTGGTAATATTGATTACTTATTTTAAATAAACAATATAATTTTGCGGAAAAGTCCTCGAAGAGTGAGAGTAATGTTATTAATTTCTTTTCGATATATGTTTTATTGGTTGGTATATTTTAATTATATTATAATATGATATATTTAAAAGTGATTTTTTTATCGGATAATACCAATTATTTTTATTTGTTTGATTTTGGTGAATTTTAATAAATTAATTTGTTTTGATCAATACATAAATACACAATAAGAAAAGTTATTTTTATCTTTACTTATAAGTGCTAGTAAAAGATAAAAAAAAAAAAATGTCGATATTATTATTATCAATAATTTTTTAACTGTCAGTTGACCATTGACTAAATGAGTGTCGGTGAAAACTTTTCGGTGATCAAAACTCTAATGTCGAAATTACACGTGTTTGCCAACTTGATTTTTTTTTAACATTTTAAAATATTATTGTAAGTAAAAAAAAAAACTTTTAAAAAAATGCAATAAAAATCATGTTTTATTTAAATTTTTTATATTTATTGAGTGAATTATATTAACACTTAAAATCGTCTTTAAAAATTTTACTTTATTTTTAAAAATTTTCATATTTCTAATTTTTGTACCCAATAAAATTAAAAAAAAAAAATTCATACCAATTAATAAAATATGACATGCGCATATCTTGAACAAATTTTGCTTATTTTTTCATATTTCTAATCCTGTCCATTGATTAATGTAGAATGGTTAAATAAAAAATTCAGCTTTGTTCACGAATCACACCTGCCTTCTGGCTCTGGCATTTCCACAGACCTTGGCTTCCAATTATTCATACAAATAATTTATACAAGAAACAACAGGATAAATAAACAAAGTAACTTTAACCAGGATCAATGGATAAAATATATAACTTGAAGCAATCTGCAACTCAACTTCAAATTTTGGTTTTCCCCATCTCAAAACATGCAATTAACTAGCTGCCCTTGGAAACTAAACTAATGCAATGTAAATATACAAACAGATATACCGCACCTTCAAAATCTGCTATAATAATGTAAAAGAAGCAAATTGACATTAGGAGTCAAATCCAATTCAATCATGATCTACTGCACATGTTGCTCTTTGCTGGAATTTCTTGCGCTGAAGCTGGAATGACGATCTTTTTGCCTGCTAGTGATGCAGGGTTGCCATTCCCTTAATTATTACCAGCAACTAGGTTTTTCTTGTTCACAATCTCTGCAAGAACAGTTAAGAAAGCAGTCTCCACATTAGTCGCTTCAAGAGTTGAGGTCTCCAAGAAAAATAGTCCTTTTTAAACAAATTCTTTGGCATCCTCCATTGGCACTGCCCACTGGTTTTCAAGGTCACTTTTGTTCCCAATCAGAATAATAACAATGTTCTTGTCAGCATGGCCATGCAACTCTTCCAGTCAGCGTGGAATGTGATCAAAGGTCTGCCATTTTGTTACATCGTAAACCAGCATTGCCCAACAGGACCCCTGTAGTATGTACTTGTAGCAGCTCTGTATCTGTTCAATGCAACATAAGAGAAGAAGCAAGATCACTAACTGCTCTTAAAACATAATTTTAAGTGTTACTAAAATTTAAATAAGCAAGATCACTTTCATCATGAGGATAACCATTAACTCACTGATTGTAAGTTAATAGGCTTAAATCTTTAATGCAGCATCCTTCAAGCAACAAATCCATCTCGCTGCTTCCTCTGAACTATTTTCTCCTAGCTGTAACGTTTAAATATTAGAATGACTTGCTAATAATCTTGATAGCAAAATAAATAAACACAGCTCACAGTTTACACACCTTAAGCTGATCATTATTATTTGAAGTGCTGCAAAGGGTGAAAATGCAGAAGACCTGAATGTCGTAAACACTTCATAAGCATTAAATATTGATGTTGCAGCACTAAAAAGAAATATGCATTATGCTGGAACATAAATTAGGGATTTAATAATTGCACCTTTTTGTTAATGCTCTCCCTTCCATTGTCTGTAATCCGAATGCATGAATCTATTATTGGACTTCTAACAGGCTCCTGCAAAAGAAGAGTTTTCAATAGTCCTTAAGTTAATTATTTTAACACAAATATCCTAGCCGAAATTGCAAATTTTCAAATAATCACACTTTGATTCAGCTAATATTAGAAATTAGCTGGGATTGAAATAGGTTGATTTCTTGTATTTCAGTTACAGAGGTCTAGTTAATCTAGATAGACAGGTATATTTATATGTGATTATGAAGTAAAAGTAATTGGTAGTTGGTGCACACCAAGGTTTGACTTTGTGGTCAACTAAGTTCCTGAGATGAAGCTAAGTTTCTATACATGCAAAGCCTGAAAACATCAAATCTCAATGGCACTTACTAAGCCATTAAATTGGAAGACGACTGCAAGCCATATATGTAGAGCTTAATCCATGGAACTTGAACCATCTGTTAGACATTAAGTTCCTTCAGACCTATATCAATAAGCAGCATTATTCTCACTGACTTTTATCTTGTCTTCTTGGTAAACACACCTCATTAATAAGAACCCTCTTAGGTGTTCACCATATAATTAAATCTCACCTCCACTTTTCGGAAGTGTTTCTGTTTTTTCTTTACATCATCAAAACTAAAAGACATCAAATTTTCACCTTGATGAGCTGCACTTGATTCCAAGAGTTTCACAATTCAAGTGGCAAAACTTATTTGCCAGTTGTATATTCAAAGAGTCCATAATTTCTCAATCCATAACATGATCTCAAATCAGGAGATTACATACATACATACATAAATACATACATACATATATATATATATGAAAAATAAAAAAGAAATACTTCAGAAAGAGCCTCATCAGCATTATTGATTTCAAGTTCATCTATGTCCCCTCCCCTACCATCGATAAAACCCAGAACCATAAAATATATCACCAAGATTTTTAAAAGATGTGAATACTATGATAACTCTATTGGATTCATTAAAGCCTTCAGCAGAATTTCAAAAGGCCAGATAAGTTCCGTTCACATGATGTATCAGACTGTACTCCGAAATGCAACTAGGGCCAACAGGACATGTATTTTAATACCTTCAAAGATTATCAGTAGCAGCATCCAAAAGTAGACAATCTAAAACCTAACTACATGCAACTAATTGATCAAGGAACTAGGTTCAATCAGTTAAATTTATTGTTCACACATTGCACCAAATCACAAATCACAAGAAAAAACCACTTCTAGAATTAAGATTGAGCTTGACCAAATAACAAAATCAAGATAAGTTGTACCAAATAAAACTTAAGCTTGTTCATTACAAAGTCAGAATCAAAATGAGGAGAGAGAGAGAGAGAGAGAGAGAGAGAGAGAGAGAGAGAGAGGAAGAACCTGTTTCGAAACAGCGCTGATGAAGAAGATGACAACGATTGAGCTGAAACTAAAGAGGAAAAATTAGGGATTTTAATAAATCAAGTAAAGATTCGTTAGATTTTTGTCTCAAAAATGATTTAGAAAACAACAGATGAAAAAACATGAAAGAGATAGGGGATTAAGATGAAGATAGTAACCTCGTGGAGCACAAATGAGATGCAAAGGCTTAGCAGAGAGTTTGAAACGTGAAGCTTAAAATCAATTAGTGCAAGTGAAGATAGTAACAAATGCAGAAGCTTTGTTTCTATACAAAAGAAAGGGGGTCGGGATTAGCAGAGAGTTTTGTAGAGTTGAGATGCATAAATGAATTAAAGGAAGAGTGCAGAGGTTTTTTGTGGGTTCAACCCATTCAGTCGTAGAAAGCAATGTTATTCTCGGCGGGTTGGCTTTGACGAAGAAAGCTCATTAAATTTGAGAATATGCTGGCGGTTCATTAAACCGCCAGAAAATATGTGCCTTTAAAATTAAGTTTTTCTTAGTGATATGAAATATGATTTATAATTTATAATTTATGTTTTGTTGTTTTATTATTTTTAATTTAATAAAAATAAAATTAATTGATAAAATAAATTTTGAAAAGTGAATTTTTTATTTTTTATTGTGATTTATTGTTTTATACTTTAATTTTTAAAGTCAAAATTTATAATTATTTTAATTTTTTTAAGAAAATAATTGTATTTCATTTTTAAAATTTAACAATTATAAAGTTAATATTATTTTTTTCATCTCTTTGTTTTATCTTAATATTCATATAAAAAATACTCCTTTAAATATCATATCACATTATATGAAAAATTACAAAATATTATGATAAATTAATGATTTTGTTTTTTATACTTTTAAATTTATTAATTTAATTTTTGAAAATAATATTTATTTATTTTGTAAATTATTAATAATATTATTATATATAAATTTATATATATTTATTAATATATTTGTATTAGGTAAAAAAATTTAAAATAATATATCAAAACAATTAATACTAATTTAATTATTTTAAAAAAAGTCAAAATATTATCTACTACTGTATTAACAACCTTGTGTTATAGTCCAAGAGAGGCTGATGATCCAATTGAATCAATTTTTGCTGTACTGTTAGTAAAGTTTAAAAAAATAAAAAATACAACCTCAGAAACAAAATATAGAGAGGCAACCAAGAATCGTGATTCGATTTACAACCAAAGCTGAGAAAGTAAGATCCCCTATCTCCCCTTTTTTTTTTTTTACCTGGTGTGAAGCTCATAAAATCTCTTTAAAATCTCTCAATTTCTCCTGCTTGAAGTAAATTGATCGACGGTCAAAAAACCCAGTTCTTATATTGCTATTCTTTTCTCTGCAATGAAATGATAGATATTTGAAAAGTAGTGGGTATTTTGGGTCTGGACAGTGCAAGATTTGGGTTGGCTGAAAATCTGTCATGAACTGCAAAAAAAAAAAAAAGTGATCCTTTTTATCCAAGAGCTGATGGCTCACGATTTTTATCTGGATTGCAATGGGGTTTTGTTCCTAAGGTTGAATAAAGTATAGAGTTGAAAGAGTTCTATATTTTTAGTACAGATGGGGAGGCCATTATTTATATTTGTATTTATATTTAAATATAAATATAAATAATCCGTGCATCACAGATAGTAAACTAGTTAATATATATATATATATATATATATATCCCTTCTTATATCTTGTTCTAATTAGTGGGTATTAGAAGGTTGAGTTTCTTTAGAATTCCATCTTCATTCAAACAATGAGACCGTTTTTCAATGGTGAGAAAAAAAACTTTAAAATCTTACATATCATGATTAAGTTATATATATATATATATATATATATATATATATGAGTTTTAATTTAATTTTATGATGAATTTTTATAAAAATATAAATGTTGGTTCGATTATTTATTTTTTTGTTAATTTTTTATATTACACTTAGCAATTATTATATTATATTTTATATATATATAATTATTGGATTGTCACCTTAAAAACCTTGTCTTCTTAATAAAATTTTAAAATTAATTTAAATTTACTAAAAAGATAATTTTTCGCTTGGTTTTTGAAAATAAATTTGGATTTGAAAATTCGGTTACATATGAAAAAAATTAATACCTACATAGTGTTCGTTTTAAAAATAATACCAACTAATCACATATTATTTTATTTTGATAAAAGTGATCTTAATTTTAATATTTAAAATAATCTAATTTTTTAATTTTTTTTACAAAAATCCTTTTAAAATATTTATTTAGGAATAACATGAAAATCTATATTTTCATAATAATCCTTAAAATCTAGTTTAATATTCTTTTATAAAAAATAATTATTGAGAAACCTTTCAATATTTAGGTAGGATCTCAAAAATTATTTTTACTTAGAAATATTAATTTTTTATTTTTTAAAAATCTTTCAAAATCATATTTATTGTTTCATTTTTTTTACAAGGATAAAATACAAACAACTAACGTGATGTAAATAAATGATACAAACACAAATTAAAATATGTAAATGGCCAATTTAACTCATCTTATAAATCTTTAATTTTATTTATTATTATTATTATTATTATTATTATATTTCTTTCCTAAATTTATATATATTATTCATAATGAAAATGGCATTTTTTTATATTAAAAGTATTTATTTTATTTTTATTTATTTGTTAACTCCTCAATATTTAGATAAAAATTAAGAAAAACCGATCATTCATTTAAGAAATTCATATAAATATTTTTGCAAACTAAGTAATATTTTTTTGCCAAAATAATTATTTTGAATTCTCTCCTATATTTATGTAAAGTCTTTAAAATCATATTTTCAAATAAAAATATTATTTTATTTTTATTCTTAAAACCCTCATTTGAAAATTAATTTTAAATCACAAATTTTTTACAGTTTAATTTTTATTCAAATCTCATTTTATTTCATCATGCATCCAAAAGTAAGTTAATTTTCAAAAATGTATTTACATTTTTATTTATTACTACAATTATTATTATTTTTCACAAGTCCAAAAATAATATTAACAAGCATAAAAAAAATGATTAAGGGCTCAAGAAAATAAATGAACAAAAGAAGCATACCCCAAATGATGCTTTTGGGCTAGGACCCAATATAAACTAAACCATGGATCAACTTTGATGGGTTTCTGGGCTAAAAGCTTACATGGGTTAAGCTGTCTGATCAACTGTCGAGCCGTCTGACCCATTTCTTCTTCCCCTTCTTTTTTTTTTAACTGTATAAAAGCACTTTTTTTATTTTTTATTTCATTTCCTACTCTCAATAAAAAAAAAAAAATCCCTTCTCTCTCGAGCAGCAAACAACAAACCCCTTTTCAACCCAATTTCCAGCATTTAGCTACAACTTCATCGCTGATTATGCCGTTTGCCGCCGCCAATCAGCGTCTTTTCCTTCTCAATTTTTCACTCTGAACCCTCTTTGGCCTCTTGAGCTCTATTCTGAGCTCTGTTTTTCCAAAATCATTCCCCAAAACCCTAGATGTAACAATGAAGCCTAAAACTTCAAGCCACAAAAAATCTCTCTTCCACTTTTCAATCTCCTTGCACTTTTAATATGTTGTTTTCCCCGTTTTTCTCTCCTTTCCCACTATTCTCAATCACCTAAAAGATTGTCGTCGTTCCCTGCCAACCACTGCTGCTGCAGGCGTGGTACTTCTTCTTCCTTTTTTTCCATTTTGTGGCCTTGCTCTCAAAATCTCCTTAAACTGCCGAATCTCTCATTTTATTTTTGTATTCTTTTCAAATTTTTTTTAGCTGGGGTTCCTCTCCCGAGAAGATTGTGATTTTTTTTATTTTTTGTGTTTTTTGGTTATGACAAATTTCTGGTGCGTTTTGTTTTGGGGTTGCAAAAAAATGTTTTTTAAGGGGCTGTTTCGATTTCAAAGAACAGAAGCTTTTTTGGGTTTAGGTGGTGGTGGCTATTAGGTTAAGTGGTGGTGGTGGCGGTGATGGAGGGGCTGTGTTGGTGGTTTGCTAATGGTGGGTGATGGTGTGTTTTGGCTGGTGAGAGGCAGCTGTAATGGAGGTTTTTAGACTTTTTGGCTCTCAAGTTTTTGGTCTAGTGGTGATTTTTTTCACGGTTGTGGCTAGAGCTTCTAAGATTTTTGGTATGTGAAAAATTTTAGTATGAATTCCCGTTCTCCGTTCTGTATCTAAATCCCTTTTTGATCGTATCCCATTTTTTTTTCTAGAACCCAGTCTCTTATCAAATTTCATCTAAAGACTTGTATTTTAGAGTTTTGTCACAGTGACTGCTACATTTTGGGGCTGAAGCTTTGCTGATTTTTGGATATTGGGTCAATCACCAATTAGTGATGGCAGTTCTGCAGTCAAAATAGGAGGGAAAAATGCAAAGCTAAAAATGGTCAAGCAGCTTGCGGAAGATCCGAGATTAGCGAGGGAAGGCTACCATCCCTTTTTTTTTTCCTTTTTTCTTTTTCAATCTTTAATTAATTAATTCTAATAAATGTAAAAATGAAAATAGGCCTTCAAAATTGAATTTGGACTAGGATTTTAAGCCGAAATTACTAAATCTTAAATTGATTCAAATTGAATTGGGGTGAACTTCAGATTATGCAAAATGATTTAAAAACTATTAATTTGAAACAAACTTGAACGGGTTTAATTTAATTAAACTACGTGATCATGTGACACCAAAATTACTCATAGTCAAGATCAATATTTTATAAGTCCATTTCCTTATAGACAGCTCATTATCGATCCTTCAAGCTGCATATCCAAGAGTCCTTCTTGGCTCTAACCCCATAGGATTTCTCGCAACATTTTGAAACTCAATAAGGAAGAATCTAACTCCTATCGCATCATAAGCCCACAAGTCTCAGGATAGCCCCGAACACCTATCCATGCCCGTAAGCACCAAGGTTCTAAGCACCGATCCTTTTTGAATTCACATAGTGGCGTGTAGTGTTCTCAAGATGGTATTTCTATCTAGCATAGTAAGAACCCAACATCATGCCCACTTGGATTATACGTAAGCTTTCATGCTTAGAACCTGAAGACATAACGCGAATGTTGGTTAGTTGCTAGCTTAGAGCCATTCTAGGTTTATCTTGTTCCCACGAAGTTCACATCTTGGGGCCTTACTTCTTAGCCTTACTTTAGGCTACTCGCATACATAATGGACACCTAACATCATGCACATAACATATTGGGTTACTTAGGTGCATTTATCACGGACCTAAGGGGGAGTCCTGAATCTCACATCGAACATAATAGAAAGGTCCCTGGGGTATAAAAGGGTTCACACTATTTTCGCCTTGTGAGGCGCATTTTGTAGGACAAAACCGTGAGGCCAGGGGGCCAGA